GATCACGTGTCACGCTATATGACTTACCTGTGTGTAGACTATCGGAATGGTGATCCAGAGATCACGTGTCACGCTATATGACTTACCTGTGTGTAGCCTAGTGGAATAGTGATCCAGAGATCACGTGTCACGCTATATGACTTACCCGAGTGTAGACTAGTGGAATGATGAACCAGAGATCACGTGTCACACTATATGACTTACCTGTGTGTAGACCAGTGGAATGGTGATCCAGCGATCACGTGTCACGCTATATGACTTACCTGTGTGTAGACTATCGGAATGGTGATCCAGAGATCACGTGTCACGCTATATGACTTACCTGTGTGTAGACTATCGGAATGGTGATCCAGAGATCACGTGTCACGCTACATGACTTACCTGGGTGTAGACTAGTGGAATGGTGTATCCAGCGATCACGTGTCACGCTATATGACTTATCTGTGTGTAGACTATCGGAATGGGGATCCAGAGATCACGTGTCACGCTATATGACTTACCAGAGTGTAGACTAGTGGAATGATGAACCAGAGATCACGTGTCACGCTACATGACTTACCTGGGTGTAGACTAGTGGAATGGTGTATCCAGAGATCACGTGTCACGCTATATGACTTACCTGTGTGTAGACTAGCGGAATGGTGATCCAGCGATCACGTGTCACACTATATGACTTAGAATGATGAACCAGAGATCACGTGTCACGCTACATGACTTACCTGGGGGTAGACTAGTGGAATGGTGTATCCAGAGATCATATATGACTTACCTGTGTGTAGACTATCGGAATGGTGATCCAGAGATCTCGTTTCACACTATATGACTTACCTGGGTGTAGACTAGTGGAAGGGTGTATCCAGAGATCACGTGTCACGCGATATGACTTACCTGTGTGTAGACTAGCGGAATGGTGATCCAGCGATCACGTGTCACACTATATGACTTACCTGTGTGTAGACTAGTGGAATGGTGATCAAGCGATCACGTGTCACACTATATGACTTACCTGTGTGTAGACTATCGGAATGGTGATCCAGAGATCACGTTTCACACTATATGACTTACCTGTGTGTAGACTAGTGGAATGATGATCCAGAGATCACGTGTCACACTATATGACTTACCTGGGTGTAGACTAGTGGAATGGTGATCCAGTCGTATACAAAACACAGAGAACACTTATCACGGAAATCCGCTAGCTGCTGTAAAATACAATAACAGAAATCGTTAGCACACAAGAACGCAAAGTCAACGCAAAAAAAAGAACAAAACAAAAACACAAAAAAATACATAAAAAAGACATCGTTAACCGCTAGGTGAAATGGATTGCTCCAAATATCGTTATAATGCAGTTCATCCGTATCATAAATCACAACACTCATAACAATGTCATAATAATCCAGTATATATGTGTCACCAATCACAACACTCGTTTCATTGTCGTAATAATCCATTCAATCTGTGTCACCAATCACAACCCTCGTTTCATTGTCGTAATAATCCCTTCAATCTGTGTCACCAATAACAACACTCGTTTCATTGTCTTAATAATATATTCAATCTGTGTCATCAATCACAACACTCGTTAAATTGTCGTAATAAGCCATTCAATCTGTGTCACCAATTACAACACTCGTTTCATTGGGGTAATAATCCATTCAATCTGTGTCACTAATTACAACACTCGTTTCATTGGGGTAATAATCCATTCAATCTGTGTCACAAATAACAACACTCGTTTCATTTTCGCAATAATCCATTCAATCTGTGTCACTAATTACAACACTCGTTTCATTGGGGTAATAATCCATTCAATCTGTGGCACCAATGACAACACTCGTTACATTGGCGTAATAATCCATTCAATCTGTGTCAGCAATTACAACACTCGTTTCATTGGGGTAATAATCCATTCAATCTGTGTCACTAATTACAACACTCGTTTCATTGGGGTAATAATCCATTCAATCTGTGTCACCAATAACAACACTCGTTTCATTGTCGTAATAATATATTCAATCTGTGTCACCAATCACAACACTCGTTAAATTGTCGTAATAATCCATTCAATCTGTGTCACCAATTACAACACTCGTTTCATTGTCGTAATAATATATTCAATCTGTGTCGCCAATCACAACAATCGTTAAATTGTCGTAATAATCCATTCAATCTGTGTCACCAATCACAACACTCGTTACATTGTCGTAATACTCCAGTTAATCTGTCACCAATTATATTTGATTAAAAGTATACGCTTACTGTTTCTGCGGAACATCTACCATGTCCTGCATAAGAACCAAAATTGTATCACACTAGGCGCGTTCGTATCGCACTTAAACCGATGCTTTATTTGAGTCATCTATTAAGAACGAAAACTAGTCACAAATGAATCCGCTAGACGAACCGGAACTATGCAGGCTAAAAAATATATTTTTTTAATCGTTGTAAAATATCAACAGAAAATACCTCATCTGTGTAATGTTAGAAAGTTAATAACCTAGAATAACGAAATATATAATATGTATGCCAAGCTACCTCGTATTTCTTTTCCTTTGAAACCGACTTACCATGACACATGTTGATTCGTTTGGAAATGTGTATGCTACAATAAGATAGATACCTCAATAATCATCCGAAGTCCCAAGTCCGTCTGGATTTTGTTCTCCCTCCTAGCCTGAACCAGGACGCTGTTGGCCCAAAGGATAGGGACCCAGAACTTGTTGTATTTACACTCCACCTCCTCGTACATAATTGCCTCCTCCTTGGATATGAAGCCTGTATTCATTACTATATATCAGCTTAAACGATATGTGTCACTGTAAACTGTAAGAAATACTCTAGTTTGTAGAATAGGTTAGTACTGTGGGTCAAAATACACCATAATACATATAAACACAAGGTATAGCTACATTAACGGCCATCACAAAGTATTGTTAAATTTAAACATATATCACGAAGTAAAGTTATGTTTAAACATATATCACAAAGTAAAGTTATGTTTAAACATATATTACAAAGTAAAGTTATATTTAACATATATCACAAAGTAAAGTTATATTTAAACATCTATCACAAAGTAAAGCTATGCTTAAACATGTATCACAGAGTAAAGTTATATTAAACATGTATTACAAAGTAAAGTTATATTAAACATATATTACAAAGTATAATTATGATTAACATCTCTCACTGTGTATAATTATATTAATCATTTATCATAAAGTTATATTTAACATATATTACAAAGTAAAGTTACATTAAACATATATTACAAAGTAAAGTTATATTAAACATATATTACGAAGTAAAGTTATATTAAACATATATTACACAGTATAATTATGATTAACATCTCTCACTCTGTATAATTATATTAATCATGTATCATAAAGTTATATCAAACATCTATCACAAAGTAAAGTTATATTAAACATATATTACACAGTATAATTATGATTAACATCTCTCACTGTGTATAATTATATTAATCATTTATCATAAAGTTATATTTAACATATAGTACAAAGTAAAGTTACATTAAACATATATTACAAGGTAAAGTTATATTAAACATATATTACGAAGTAAAGTTATATTAAACATATATTACCAAGTATATTATGATTAACATCTCTCACTATGTATAATTATATTACTCATGTATCATAAAGTTATATTAAACATCTATTACAAAGTATAATTATGATTTACATCTCTCACTATGTATAATTACATTAATCATTTATCATAAAGTTATATTTAACATATAATACAAAGTAAAGTTACATTAAACATATATTACAAAGTAAAGTTATATTAAACATCTATGACAAAGTAAAGTTATATTAAACATATATTACAAAGTATAATTATGATTATCATCTCTCACTGTGTATAATTATATTAATCATTTATCATAAAGTTATATTTAACATATATTACAATTAAAGTGATATAAAACATATATTACAAAGTATAATTATGATTATCATCTCTCACTGTGTATAATTATATTAATCATTTATCATAAAGTTATATTAAACATCAGTTATATTAAACATATATTACAAAGTAAAGTGATATTAAACATATATTACAAAGTATAATTATGATTATCATCTCTCACTGTGTATAATTATATTAATCATTTATCATAAAGTTATATTTAACATATAATACAAAGTAAAGTTACATTAAACATATATTACAAGGTAAAGTTATATTAAACATATATTACGAAGTAAAGTTATATTAAACATATATTACGAAGTAAAGTTATATTAAACATATATTACCAAGTATAATTATGATTAACATCTCTCACTCTGTATAATTATATTAATCATGTATCATAAAGTTATATTAAACATCTATTACAAAGTATAATTATGATTTAAATCTCTCACTATGTATAATTACATTAATCATGTATCATAAAGTTATATTAAACATATACTACAAAGTAAAGTTATATTAAACATATATTACGAAGTAAAGTTATATTAAACATATATTACGAAGTAAAGTTATATTAAACATATATTACACAGTATAATTATGATTAACATCTCTCACTATGTATAATTATATAAATCATTTATCATAAAGTTATATTAAACATCTATCACAAAGTAAAATTATATTAAACATAAATTACAAAGTAAAGTTATATTAAACATCTATTTCAAAGTAAAGTTATATTAAACATATATCTCAAAGTATAATTATGATTAACATCTCTCACTATGTATAATTATATAAATCATTTATCATAAAGTTATATTAAACATCTATCACAAAGTAAAATTATATTAAACATAAATTACAAAGTAAAGTTATATTAAACATCTATGACAAAGTAAAGTTATATTAAACATATATCTCAAAGTATAATTATGATTAACATCTCTAACTATGTATAATTACATTAATCATTTATCATAAAGTTATATTAAACATCAGTTATATTAAACATATATTACAAAGTAAAGAAAGTTATATTTAACATATATTACAAAGTAAAGTTACATTAAACATATATTACAAGGTAAAGTTATATTAAACATATATTACGAAGTAAAGTTATATTAAACATATATTACACAGTATAATTATGATTAACATCTCTCACTGTGTATAATTATATTAATCATTTATCATAAAGTTATATTTAACATATAATACAAAGTAAAGTTACATTAAACATATATTACAAGGTAAAGTTATATTAAACATATATTACGAAGTAAAGTTATATTAAACATATATTACCAAGTATATTATGATTAACATCTCTCACTATGTATAATTATATAAATCATTTATCATAAAGTTATATTAAACATCTATTACAAAGTATAATTATGATTTACATCTCTCACTATGTATATCACATTAATCATGTATCATAAAGTTATATTAAACATCTATCACAAAGTAAAATTATATTAAACATAAATTACAAAGTAAAGTTATATTAAACATATATCTCAAAGTATAATTATGATTAACATCTCTAACTATGTATAATTACATTAATCATTTATCATAAAGTTATATTTAACATATAATACAAAGTAAAGTTACATTAAACATATATTACAAGGTAAAGTTATATTAAACATATATTACGAAGTAAAGTTATATTAAACATATATTACGAAGTAAAGTTATATTAAACATATATTACGAAGTAAAGTTATATTAAACATATATTACGAAGTAAAGTTATATTAAACATATATTACACAGTATAATTATGATTAACATCTCTCACTATGTATAATTATATTACTCATGTATCATAAAGTTATATTAAACATCTATCACAAAGTAAAATTATATTAAACATAAATTACAAAGTAAAGTTATATTAAACATATATCACAAAGTATAATTATGATTAACATCTCTCACTATGTATAATTACATTAATCATTTATCATAAAGTTATATTAAACATCTATCACAAAAAAAAGTTATATTAAACATAAATTACAAAGTAAAGTTATATTAAACATCTATTACAAAGTATAATTATGATAAACATCTCTCACTATGTATAATTACATTAATCAGTTATCATAAAGTTATATTAAACATATATTACAAAGTAAAGTTATATTAAACATATATTACCAAGTATAATTATGATTAACATCTCTCACTATGTATAATTATATAAATCATTTATCATAAAGTTATATTAAACACCTATTACAAAGTATAATTATGATTTACATCTCTCACTATGTATAATTACATTAATCATGTATCATAAAGTTATATTTAACATATATTACGAAGTAAAGTTATATTAAACATATATTACAAAGTATAATTATGATTAACATCTCTCACTATGTATAATTACAGTAATCATGTATCATAAAGTTATATTTAACATATATTACAAAGTAAAGTTATATTAAACATATATTACAAAGTACAGTTATATTAAACATATATTACAAAGTATAATTATGATTTACATCTCTCACTATGTATAATTACATTAATCATTTATCATAAAGTTATATTAAACATCTATTACAAAGTATAATTATGATTTACATCTCTCACTATGTATAATTACATTAATCATGTATCATATAGTTATATTAAACATATAATACAAAGTAAAGTTATATTAAACATCTATTACAAAGTATAATTATGATAAACATCTCTCACTATGTATAATTACATTAATCATTTATCATAAAGTTATATTAAACATGTATTACAAAGTATAATTATGATAAACATCTCTCACTATGTATAATTACATTAATCATGTATCATAAAGTTATATTAAACATATAATACAAAGTAAAGTTATATGTAACATATATTACAAAGTATAATTATGATAAACATCTCTCACTGTGTATATCACATTAATCATGTATCATAAAGTTATATTAAACATATAATACAAAGTAAAGTTATATGTAGCATATATTACAAAGTATAATTATGATAAACATCTCTCACTATGTATATCACATTAATCATGTATCATAAAGTTATATTAAACATCTATTACAAAGTACAGTTATATTAAACATCTATTACAAAGTATAATTATGATTAACATCTCTCACTATGTATATCACATTAATCAGTTATCATAAAGTTATATTTAACATATATTACAAAGTAAAGTTATATTAAACATATATTACAAAGTAAAGTTATATTAAACATATATTACAAAGAATAATTATGATTTACATATATCAATATGTATACTTACATTAATCATTTATCATAAAGTTATGTTAAACATATATTACAAAGTAAAGTTATATTAAACATCTATTACAAAGTAAAGTTATATTAAACATATATTACAAAGTAAAGTTATATTAAACATATATTACAAAATAAAGTTATATTAAACATATATTACAAAGTAAAGTTATATAAAACATATATTACAAAGTAAAGTTATATTAAACATATATTACAAAGAATAATTATGATTTACATATCTCAATATGTATACTTACATTAATCATGGATCATAAAGTTATATTAAACATATATAACAAAGTATAATTATGATAAACATGATACACAAAGTAAAGTTATATAAAAATATCACAGAGTATATTTCAATTCAACATGCGGGCAACTTGGAAACACGTCCGCAATTGGTAAAAATTGTAACAAATTCTGCAATGATTTGAGTTGTAATTTCTTTATGTATATAATGATTAACTCACCAGACTCCACGATGTGATCCAGAGTTGGGAACCGCTTCATCACAGCCACACTCACAGACCGGGTTATCAAAATAAATCCAAACATCATGTAGCGCGCAACACTTCTGCGCATTATCCGGGCTTTTTCATCAAATCCGTGCAGATAGCAACACGTCATGAATAACGTTCTGTAACAAGTAAGTGTAAAGCGTCAAACCATGTGTAAAATTACACATGCGTATTGAGACACTGGGTTCTATCGTCAGCGTTTGGATTTGACTAAGACATCATCACGGTAGGAGCCTATGGTGCTGGTGTGCCCGGTTTCAGCTGTGCTGATTTCGCAGGGTTAAAGGACTTTTGGGATATCTGTATTTTATATTTTTCGAGTCTCCTCCTGTTGTCCGATACACTTTGATTTCTTGTTTTACGCTGCATTAATCATGTTTGACATTTCATTAAAACAAGAAACAAGAAACAAGAAACGTAACATTTAACCGGGAACACTATATTATACAATAATCTTTACTACCCTGGAAATTGATCCGTCAACAAAGGTATAACAGAAAGCTTCGTTCCTACTTTAATCGCGATATTATATATAGTAGGAGTGCATTAACCTGATACTTCTGTGGAGTGTGCAACTCACAATGGGTTACTACCCTTTACAGACTAATTTTTGACTAAGAGAGTCCAGTGACTGTAGTTCATAGATGCAAAGTACAAATAAAGAATATACGACTCTTTCATGTTCAAGGGTTTAGGATAGGGTAATTTTAACCGAGGTTTTTTTAATTTGGTAAACCCGAAAGCTTTGCCGAGGGTTTTGCCAAATTTGAAAATCCTGAGGGTGGAATTTTCCTATCCTACACCCTTGGGCATGAAAGAGGTTTTTTTCTCTTACCCTGGACAGATTTATCGTTACTTCCTCCAGTACCTGCCCCCTCTTTGATCACCAGAAGTGACATTTCAGCCTCGAACTCGCCTCCCGTTGTCGACACACACGTCAGCAACGTAACAACTCGCGTGCATCGCTATGTGACGCTGTGAGTGAGACTGGAACCTCATAGTCATAAGTATGGAAGATGATGATTTAGCAGACTTCATTACACAAAAAAAAACTCAGAAAAAAAACCTGTCTCGTACATAAACCTGTTGAGATCATTTCTGAAAACCAACGGAGAAAACCGTGACATTCATCAAAAGTTTTTTATCATACAATAAAAGACAAAACAAAAACATGGACAGGAGTTGATATGACAAATATCAGGGACAGCAAGTCAACGATGTACGCCACACCAGACAATCCAGAATGATACCCGATACAGGCATATAACGTATTCTCCAACAAACGTCCGGCGAACTTATCAAATCATGATCATCCTTTCTACCTAGCCACGGTAATGAACATTGGTTTCTGAGAGGACCTTTCGGTAGAAACAAATTAGCTCAAAAATATGGAAAAAAATGCACACCTGTCCGGACTTGAGCACAAACGTTTGACTAACACGAGTGTGCGGAAACACTTGTGTCAGAAGTAGTCGGAGACGGGAATTCCCGACACACAAGCAGTTCACATAACGGGACATAAGAACCCACAGTCACTAAACAACTATCGCTTATTGAGTAAAGTCCAAAAACAAAACATGTCAGCTATCTTGGCTAATAATCAGCCTGTTTCCGATGTTTCAAACTTTAGAAGTGTTTCTTAATTTCAAGCACACTTACCTCCTCTGAGAATTGCTCCAATTTGACACAACAACACAACAGCATTTCCTTGTGTGATACATATACATAAGCATCCACGATTTTTCATGGATGCACAAAGGAAGAGTGCACATTTAATATAAATATTCAAGCATCATCACAGGAGAAAATTCGAAACAAGCGCCGTACACCTGCCATCCTGTCGGATACCGACAGTGAATAGTGAATGGCCTCAAAATGAGAGACTGGGAATCACGTGACATGTGTGACATTGCAAAACTTTCTCATAAACTGATTTGCAGTGCAAATATGTGTTTAACTTAAACTTAACCTATCTTATTCAGAAATTAAAAAAACATAATATAAGAAAGTATATATTGTGTGGGATGTTTTATTGGTCAAATGAAACGGAACTATATTTTGCGTGATAAAAAATATGATGCGTGAAGCGTCTGACGGTTACATATAATATTAATACGCAATCCACGTGCTCCTGTTTACAAACCATATATACTTCGTTTTACACTTGGACAGGAACAACAGGGTAAGAGAAAAATAATCATTCACTCCCTTGTGGGTGAGATTGGGGGACCTAAACCCTCGGGGGAATGATTCCCCTATCTCACCCCTTACACCCCTTTCTTAGATTGTACAGCTCTATCTTACACACACGGAAATAAGAGTTAACTGCACTTTGTTTTCATTTCGTTCATTTAGGGTATCGGAAATCAGTGTCCAAAGTGTCCCGAAATTTATATAGAAACAGAGAGGGAAATATGCCCCACTATATAGAAACAGAGAGGGAAAAGTGCCCCACTATATAGAAACAGAGAGGGAAAAGTGCCTAACTATATAGAAACAGAGAGGGAAAAGTGCCTCCTGGGTACAAGAGATAATTTATTCGTAAACTGGTATTTCATGTGAACCTTGCCAGAATAAATTCAAGCTTCACCGTTATAGTAATGTTAGTCTACCAATGGAATCAAACACCTGGCGAGGTAGAATAATTACTAGAAATACGAAGTTAGGGTCCTTCGATTTAAACTTTAGTAGGTCGATGAGAGCTAAATATGTTCATTCCACCGTAAGGTCTTTCCTACCTTTATTTTTCATGTGTCTTACTCCGAAGTAAGTCGACAGACTGACAGGAGTAGTCATGACTGTTCTCACAAAGATATACTTACTCCATGATTTTGCTATGTCGCCTTTCATTCATGTCTTTTTATGACCACACCGAGTCCAGATTTCTCCGCTTTTAATTGACGCTGAAGTGTTATTTATTGTTTATATTGCTTTGATGGTACTAATAGATTATAAATGTCTGACCAACGGGACGTAACTACATACTTACCTGTCTGACCAAGGGACGTTATTAAATAATTACCTGTCTGACCAAGGGACGTTATTAAATACTTACCTGTCTGACCAAAGAGCGTTACTATATACTTATCTGTCTGACCAGGGGACGTTACTTAATACTTACCTGTCTGACCAAGGGACGTTATTAAATACTTACCTGTCTGACCAAGAGACGTTACTACATACTTACCTGTCCGACCAGGGGACGTCACTACATACTAACCAGTCCGACCAAGGGACGTCACTACATAATTACCTGTCCGACCAGGGGACGTAACTACATACTTACTTGTTGGACCAGGGGACGTCACTTCATAATTACATGTCCGACCAAAGGACGTCACTACATACTTACCTGTCCGACCAAGGGACGTCACGACATAATTACCTGTAGGACCAGGGGACGTCACTACATACTTACCTGTCCGACCAAAGGACGTCACTACATACTTACCTGTCCGACCAAGGGACGTTGTTAAATAATCACCTGTCTGACCAAGGGACGTTATTAAATACTTACCTGTCTGACCAAAGAGCGTTACTATATACTTATCTGTCTGACCAAGGGACGTTACTAGATACTTACCTGTCTGACCAAGGGACGTTATTAAATAATTACCTGTCTGACCAAGGGACGGTATTAAATACTTACCTGTCTGACCAAAGAGCGTTACTATATACTTATCTGTCTGACCAAGGGACGTTACTAAATACTTACCTGTCTGACCAAGGGACGTTATTAAATACTTACCTGTCTGACCAAAAGACGTTACTACATACTTACCTGTCCGACCAGGGGACGTCACTACATACTAACCAGTCCGACCAAGGGACGTCACTACATACTTACCTGTCCGACCAAGGGACGTCACCACATAATTACCTGTAGGACCAGGGGAGGTTTGTACATAATTACCTGTAGGACCAAGGGACATCACTACACAATTACCTGTAGGACCAGGTGACGTCACTACATACTTACCTGTAAGACTAGGGGACGTCACTACATACTTACCTGTCCTACCAATGGACGTCACTACATACTTACATGTCGGACCAGGGGACGTCACTACAAACTTACCTGTAGGACCAGGGGACGTCAATACATACTTACAGGTCGGACCAAAGGACGTCACTACATACTTACCTGTCTTACCAATGGACGTCACTACATACTTACATGTCGGACTAGGGGACGTCACTACAAACTTACCTGTAGGACCAGGGGACGTCAATACATACTTACAGGTCGGACCAAAGGACGTCACTACATACTTACCTGTCCGACCAAGGGACGTCACTACATAATTACATGTCCGACCAGGGGACGTAACTACATACTTACTTGTTGGACCAGGGGACGTCACTACATAATTACATGTCCTACCAAGGGAGGTGTCTACATACTTACCAGTCCGAACAAGGGACGTAACTACATACTTACCTGTCCTACCAAGGGACATAACTACATACTTACCTGTCCGACCAGGGGACGTCACTACATACTTACCTGTCCTACCAAGGGACGTCACTACATACTTACCTGTCCGACCAGGGGACGTCACTACATACTTACCTGTCCGACCAGGGGACGTCACTACATACTTACCTTTCCTACCAAGGGACGTCACTACATACTTACCTGTAGGACCAGGGGACGTCACTACATACTTACCTGTCGGACCAGGGGACATCACTGCATACCTACCTGTCCGACCAGGGGACGTCATTACATACTTACATGTCCGACCAGGGGACATAGCTACATACTTACTTGTTGGACCAGGGGACGTCACTACATATTTACATGTCGGACCATGGGACGTAACTACATACTTACTTGTTGGACCAGGGGACGTCACTACATAATTGCATGTCCTACCAAGGGACGACACTACATACTAACCTGTCCTACCAAGGGACGTCACAACATACTTACCTGTTCGACCAGGGGACGTCACTACATACTTACCTGTCCGACCAAAGGACATCACTACATACTTACTTGTTGGACCAGGGTACGTCACTACATAATTACTTGTTGGACCAGGGAATGTAACTAAATATTCACCTGTCTGACCAGGGAACGTTACTTAATATTTACCTGTCGGGCCAGAAACGTTAACAAGTACTTTCTTGTCGGACCATAAACATTACTCAATATTTATCTGTCAGCCCATGGAAAGTTACTCAATATTTACCTGTCGGGCCATGGAACGTTGCTCAATATTTAACTGTCGGGCCAAGGGACGTTACTCAATATTTACCTGTCGGGCCATGGAACGTTAATCAATATTTACCTGTCGGGCCATGGAACGTTACTCAATATTTCCCTGTCGGGCCAAGGGACGTTACTCAATATTTCCCTGTCGGGCCATGAAACGTTAATCAATATTTACCTGTCGGGCCAAGGAACGTTACTCAGTATTTACCTGTCGGGCCATGGAACGTTACTCAATATTTACCTGTCGGGCCAAGGAACGTTACTCAGTATTTACCTGTCGGGCCATGGAAGGTTACTCAATATTTACCTGTCGGGCCTTGGAACGTTACTCAATATTTACCTGTCGGGCCATGGAACGTTAATCAATATTTACCTGTCGGGCCAAGAGACGTTTCTCAATATTTACCTGTCGGGCCAAGGGACGTTCCTCAATATTTACCTGTCAGGCCAAGGGACGTTACTCATTATTTACCTGTCGGGCCAAGGGACGTTACTCAATATTTACCAGTCAGGCCAAGGGACGTTACTCAATATTTACCTGTCGGGACAAGGAACGTTACTCAGTATTTACCGGTCGGGCCATGGAAGGTTACTCAATATTTTCCTGTCGGGCCAAGGGACGTTACTCAATATTTACCAGTCAGGCCAAGGGACGTTACTCAATATTTACCTGTCGGGCCAAGAGACGTTACTCAATATTTACCTGTCGGGCCATGGAATGTTACTCAATATTTACCTGTCGGGCCAAGGGACGTTACTCATTATTTACCTGTCGGGCCAAGGGACGTTCATGAACTGTGTCCACCATCGGTTTACTATAAGAGACACGTAGAATCCCAGTACAAATGAGACTGGGATCAGGTTTGTGTAATGAGCACAGAACATCGCCAGCTTCTCGAAAACGCTGTAAACAGAAAGTACAAAGATGTTCAGTAACTCGCCAAACACGCTGTTAACAAGAAGTACAAAGCTGGTCAGTAACTCGCCAAACAGGCTGTAAACAGGAAGTACAAAGCTGGTCAGTAACTCGCCAAACACGCTGTAAACAGGAAATACAAAGCTGGTCAGTAACTCGCCAAACACGCTGTAAACAGTAAGTACAAAGCCGATCAGTAACTCGCCAAACACGCTGTAAACAGTAAGTACAAAGCCGGTCAATTACTCGCCAAACACGCTGTAAACAGTAAGTACAAAGCGGGTCAATTACTCGCCAAACACGCTGTAAACAGTAAGTACAAAGCCGGTCAGTAACTCGCCAAACAGGCTGTAAACAGGAAATACAAAGCCGGTCAGTTACTCATAAAACACGCTGTAAACAGTAAGTACAAAGATGGTCAGTAACTCGCCAAACACGCTGTAAACAGGAAGTACAAAGCTAGTCAGTAACTCGCCAAACAGGCTGTAAACAGGAAGTACAAAGCCGGTCAGTAACTCGCCAAACACGCTGTAAACAGTAAGTACAAAGCTGGTCAGTAACTCGCCAAACACGCTGTAAACAGGAAATACAACGCCGGTCAGTAACTCGCCAAACACGCTGTTAACAAGAAGTACAAAGCCGGTCAGTAACTCGCCAAACAGGCTGTAAACAGTAAGTACAAAGCTGGTCAGTAACTCGCCAAACACGCTGTAAACAGGAAATACAACGCCGGTCAGTAACTCGCCAAACACGCTGTAAACAGTAAGCACAAAGCTGGTCAGTAACTCGCCAAACAGGCTGTAAACAGTAAGTATAAAGCTGTTCAGTTACTCACAAAACACGCTGTAAACAGTAAGTACAAAGCTGGTCAGTAACTCGCCAAACACGCTGTAAACAGGAAATACAACGCCGGTCAGTAACTCGCCAAACACGCTGTTAACAAGAAGTACAAAGCCGGTAAGTAACTCGCCAAACACGCTGTAAACAGTAAGTATAAAGCCGATCAGTAACTCGCCAAACACGCTGTAAACAGGAAGTACAAAGCTGGTCAGTAACTCGCCAAACACGCTGTAAACAGGAAATACAACGCCGGTCAGTAACTCGCCAAACACGCTGTAAACAGGAACTACAAAGCTGGTCAGTAACTCGCCAAACACGCTGTAAACAGGAAATACAACGCCGGTCAGTAACTCGCCAAACACGCTGTTAACAAGAAGTACAAAGCCGGTCAGTAACTCGCCAAACAGGCTGTAAACAGTAAGAACAAAGCCGGGCAGTAACTCGCCAAACACGCTGTAAACAGTAAGTATAAAGCCGATCAGTAACTCGCCAAACACGCTGTAAACAGGAAGTACAAAGCTGGTCAGTAACTCGCCAAACACGCTGTAAACAGGAAATACAACGCCGGTCAGTAACTCGCCAAACACGCTGTAAACAGGAACTACAAAGCTGGTCAGTAACTCGCCAAACACGCTGTAAACAGGAAGTACAAAGCCGGTCAGTAACTCGCCAAACAGGCTGTAAACAGTAAGTATGAAGCTGTTCAGTTACTCACAAAACACGCTGTAAACAGTAAGTACAAAGCCGGTCAATTACTCGCCAAACACGCTGTAAACAGTAAGTACAAAGCCGGTCAGTTACTCACAAAACACGCTGTAAACAGTAAGTACAAAGCCGGTCAGTAACTCGCCAGTACAAAGCTGGTCAGAAACTCGCCAAACAGGCTGCAAACAGTAAGTACAAAGCTGGGCAGTAACTCGCCAAACACGCTGTAGACAGTAAGTACAAAGTCGGTCAGTAACTCGCCAGTACAAAGCTGGTCAATAACTCCCCAAACACGCTGTAAACAGAAAGTACAAAGCCGGTAAGTTACTCACAAAACACGCTGCAAACAGTAAGTACAAAGCCGGTCAGTTACTCGCCAAACACGCTGTAGACAGGAAGTACAAAGCCGGTCAGTAACTCGCCAAACACGATGTAAACAGTAAGTACAAAGCTGGTCAGTAACTCGCCAAACACGCTGTAAACAGGAAATACAAAGCTGGTCAGTAACTCGCCAAACACGCTGTACACAGTAAGTACAAAGCCGGTCAGTTACTCGCCAAACAGGCTGTAAACAGTAAGAACAAAGCTGGTCAGTAACTCGCCAAACAGGCTGTAAACAGTAAGTACAAAGCCGGTCAGTAACTCGCCAAACAGGCTGTAAACAGTAAGTACAAAGCCGGTCAGTAACTCACAAAACACGCTGTAAACAGGAAGTACAAAGCCGATCAGTAACTCTCCATGTGGCATAGCATTAAAGAGAACAAAAACTAGCTTTAACAAAACAATGGCCTTCATATTCTACCGAAAACAAGGGATTTGTTATCCACTGGAACAAGATGGCTAGATTATCTACTTGGAACATAGTGGCTAGATTATCTACTGGGAACATAGTGGCTAGATTATCTACTGGGAACATAGTGGCTAGATTATCTACTGGGAACATAGTGGCTAGATTATCTACTGGGAACATAGTGGCTAGATTATCTACTGGGAACATAGTGGCTAGATTATCTACTGGGAACATAGTGGCTAGATTATCTACTGGGAACATAGTGGCTAGATTATCTACTGGGAACATAGTGGCTAGATTATCTACTGGGAACATAGTGGCTAGATTATCTACTGGGAACATAGTGGCTAGATTATCTACTGGGAACATAGTGGCTAGATTATCTACTGGGAACATAGTGGCTAGATTATCTACTGGGAACATAGTGGCTAGATTATCTTCATGGAACATAGTGGCTAGATTATCTACTGGGAACATAGTGGCTAGATTATCTACTGGGAACATAGTGGCTAGATTATCTTCATGGAACATAGTGGCTAGATTATCTACTGGGAACATAGTGGCTAGATTATCTACTGGGAACATAGTGGCTAGATTATCTTCATGGAACATAGTGGCTAGATTATCTACTGGGAACATAGTGGCTAGATTATCTACTGGGAACATAGTGGCTAGATTATCTACTGGGAACATAGTGGCTAGATTATCTACTGGGAACATAGTGGCTAGATTATCTACTGGGAACATAGTGGCTAGATTATCTACTGGGAACATAGTGGCTAGATTAACTAATTGGAACAAATGTAGTTAGATTATCTACTTGGAACGAATATGGCTGTGCTTCCTGCTGAGAACAAAGGAAGATTGAATACTTAATGGGAACCTAGGTGCTAGGATTATTTACTGGACATAAACGTGTCTACTACGAATGTAGGTGAATGGTTGTTTTTTTTTTACTGTGAACAGAGATAACAAGATTACCCTTTAGGAACAAAGGTGTATTTATTATCTTTTGAGAACAATGGTGAATGGGTTATTTACTCGGAACAAAGGTGGAAGAATTCTCTATTTAGAATTACTAGAAATTTCCTTCTGTTTGTACCTTTTCCCGAGTAAATGACAACTTAGATATAACAGCTAATCTGGTTCATATTTCCGACAGGTGGTTGATTAGGAGCTAACGAGAATCACCAAGAAAAACAAAAAATAAAAATTCTATTTTAGTATTACATAGAATCAAACCATATGGATTGTAATCGACTTTGTAACTAAAATAAGTTCCTGTCTACCCCACACATCAGACACCCCACACATCAGACACCTCGCACATCAGACACCCCACACATCAGCGCCTCGCACATCAGACACCCCACACATAAGAACATCAAACATCCCACACATCAGAAACATCCCACACATCAGACACTCCCCACACATCAGACACAACTCACACATCAGACACCCCACACATCAGACACCCCACACATAAGAACATCAAACATCCCACACATCAGAAACATCCCACACATCAGACACTCCCCACACATCAGACACACCCCACACATCAGACGCCCCACACATCAGACAAACCCCACACATCAGACCATCAGACACCCCATACATCAGTCACCCCACACATCAGACACACCCCACATCAGACACCCCACACATCAGACACACCCCACACATCCGACACATCGCACATCAGACACATCCCACACATCAGACACCCCACACATCAGACACCCCCCACATCAGACACCCCACACATCAGACACCCCACACACCAGACACCCCACACATCAGACAAACCCCACACACCAGACCATCAGACACCCCATACATCAGTCACCCCACACACCAGACACACCCCACATCAGACACCCCACACATCAAACAAACCCCACAAATCAGACCATCAGACACCCCACACATTAGTCACCCCACACATCAGACCCCCCACACATCAGACACACCCCACACATCAGACAACCACACAACAGACACCCCACACATCAGACACATCCCACACATCAGACACCCCACACATCAGACACCTCGCACATCACACACCCCACACATAAGACCATCAGACATCACAGACATCAGAAACACCCCACACATCAGACACCCCACACAGCAGACACACCCCACACATCAGACACCCCACACACCAGACACCCCACACATCAGACACACCCCACACATCCGACACATCGCACATCAGACACATCCCACACATCAGACACCCCACACATCAGACACCTCGCACATCAGACCCCACACACCAGACACACCCCACACATCAGACACCCCCCACACATCAGACACCCCACACATCAGACACCCCCCACACATCAGACACCCCACACATCAGACACCCCCCACACATCAGACACCTCGCACATCAGACCCCACACACCAGACACACCCCACACATCAGACACCCCACACACCAGACACCCCACACATCAGACAAACCCCACACACCAGACCATCAGACACCCCATACATCAGTCACCCCACACACCAGACACACCCCACATCAGACACCCCACACATCAGACACACCCCACACATCAGACAACCACACATCAGACACCCCACACATCAGACACATCCCACACATCAGACACCCCACACATCAAACACCTCGCACATCACACACCCCACACATCAGACACCCCACACACCACACACCCCACACACCAGACCATCAGACACCCCACACATAAGACACATCCCACACATCAGACACCACACACATCAGACACCCCACTCATCAAACACCTCGCACATCACACACCCAACACATAAGACCATCAGACATCACATACATCAGAAACCCCCCACACATCAGACCCCCCCCACACATCAGACACCCCACACATCAGACAACCACACATCAGACACCCACACATCAGACCATCAGACACCCCACACATCAGACACCCCACACATCAGACACCTCGCACATCACACACCCCACACATAAGACCATCAGACATCACATACATCAGAAACACCCCACACATCATACACCCCACACATCAGACACACCCCACACATCAGACCATCAGACATCCCACACATCAGACACCCCACACATCAGACACACCCCACACATCAGACACCCAACACATCAGACACCCCACACATCAAACACACCCCACACATCAGACACCCCACACATCAGACACCCCACACATCAGACACCCCACACATCAGAGACCACACACATTAGACACTACACACATCAGACACCCCACACATCAGACACACCCCACACATCAGACACCCCACACATCAGACCCCCCACACATCAGACACCCCACACATCAGACACCACACACAGCAGACACCACACACATCAGACACCCCACACATCAGACACCTCGCACATCACACACCCCACACATAAGACCATCAGACATCACATACATCAGAAACACCCCACACATCAGACACCCCACACATCAAACACACCCCACACAACAGACACCCCACACATCAGACACCACACACAGCAGACACCACACACATCAGACACCCCACACATCAAACACCCCCCACACATCAGACACCCCACACATCAGACACCACACACAGCAGACACCACACACATCAGACACCCCACACACCAAACACACCCCACACATCAGACACCCCACACATCAGACACCTCGCACATCACACACCCCACACATAAGACCATCAGACATCACATACATCAGAAACACCCCACACATCAGACACCCAACACATCAGACACCCCACACATCAAACACACCCCACACATAAGACACCCCACCCATCAGACACCGCACACATCCGACACCACACACATCAGACCATCAGACACCCCACACATCAGACGCCCCACACATCAGACACCCCACACATCAGACACCTCGCACATCACACACCCCACACATAAGACCATCAGACATCACATACATCAGAAACACCCCACACATCAGACACCCAACACATCAGACACCCCACACATCAAACACACCCCACACATAAGACACCCCACACATCAGACACCGCACACATCCGACACCACACACGTCAGACCATCAGACACCCCACACATCAGACACCCCACACACCAGACACCCCTCACATCAGACACCCCACACATTAGACACCGCACACATCCGACACCACACACGTCAGACACATCAGACCCACCCCACACATCAGATACCTCGCACATCAGACACACTCCACACATCAGACACACCCCACACATCTGACACCACACACATCAGACACCCCACACATCAGACACCCCACACATCAGACACCACACACATCATACACCACACACATCAGACACCCCACACATCAGACCATCAGACACCCCACACATCAGACACCCCACACATCAGATCATCAGACACCACACACATCAGACACCCCACACATCAGACACACCACACACATCAGACACCACACACATCAGACACCTCACACATCAGACCATCAGACACCACACACATCAGACACCCCACACATCAGACACACCCCACACATCAGACACACCCCACACATCAGACACCACACACATCAGACACCCCACACATCAGACCATTAGACACCCCACACATCAGACACCCCACACATCAGACACCACACACATCAGACACACCCCACACATCAGACCATCAGACACCACACACATCAGACACACCCCACACATCAGACACCCCACACATTCAGCCGGAGGTCTAGATATTTGTTATCATTTCTAAACACAGAACAGAACATTCCAATGTTTCTCTGAACGTTAAAGAGACAGTAAACTGCACATTTCACAATAAAAGATGTCAAGAAAACACAGACTATTTTGCTTTAAGTCGTATTAAGACATTCTGTTCGTAAACTATTAGGGTTACATGTTACTTTATATGTACATATATTATTCTTAAAATCTTATACTAACATTAAGATGGACTGACATATTTGGTTAGATACGATGGGTTGCAGGTATATGTGTCATTGATTTAATTCTATAATACATTTATTATACCTGATTATAAATATCTCAGGGATGAATCAAGAATAGGTTTAGCAGTACAGACTCGTCGTCAGTTATAATTTAGGGGATAAACTTCAATTAAAATAAATTATCAAATTTCTCTTTTTGCCTTAAGGATGTACACCTCTGAGAATTCAAAAGATTCCTGTATTAAACTTTTTTTCTTATATTGATTTTTGGAAAAAGGAGATAATGGCATAGTAGAAAATTCGTTTTTGTGCTATGATCGGTCAAAGATACCAATTTAACACAATAGGTGATTTTAGGTGAATTTTCGGGTTTTGACCATTTGCAGAACAAATTCATACAATTTCTTCCAAATATGTTATCAGATATGTATGAATGTTTGTAGAATTGATAAAAATATTATTTTCTTTTAAATTATGGAAGTAAAATTTATTAATTTTATTCATTTTACTCAGAAATGCGATTTTAGTTACCCCTACCCCTTATTTTTTAACGAAAAAATGAACATTTTTTCACCATTTTTTGCAGATCAAACGCTTGATATAAAACATTCCTGTATTAAACTTTTTATAGTATTCAATGAATAAAAAGAAAATGTGTTTCTCTTTCTAAAACATCCACAAAAATGGGGGGTCGGTGTCTTCTTTTTTTGTCCCATTATTATTTGTGTTATTTTTCACCTTTTTCGGGGTCAAAAATCAAAAGTGTTCAGTTACCCTAATATGTACAAAAAAATACCAAAAATATATAACTTCACTTTTTCTGCATATTATTTTAATCATATTGAACATTATAAAGTTGTACAGCAAAATTGAACAAGCTACATTTAAAAATGGTGACACAATGACAATTCAAGTGATCAATCTAATGTCAAAAAAGGTGAAATTTTGCCCTTTGTGAAGCGCAAGAAATTCACATAAATACATTTTTTCAAAATGACCAAATTGGTCATTTTTTTCAAATTCTTGTAAAAAATGTTCTACACACAACAGACATCTAGCTGTTTGACATGTATCAGATGTGTGTTTGCTATTAAACCTATCATAAAAAGTTAAATATTACAAAAACCCGTTACACCAGATCAAAACGAGACTTGAATGTGACTGAAACCTCAGAAAGTACATCCTTAACGATTTTTAAAAAAGAAATCAACGCTGCACTTTACTAAAGCTAAATACGTATGCTCACTTGTTCAGTAATTTGATTGTGATTCAGCCCTTAATTATGAGAAACTGAAAAAACAATAGTTTATTTGAATGCAAATCAAAAAATGATTTAGTTGGGCTTTGATGATTGATTCAAAACAGATTTGAAAATAATTCACAAGAATGGTTATATGTATGCCATGTATCCCAAAATTCAAAGCATGAATCAAGGTATATGTGCCATACAAAAAAAACGCTTTGGAAACCAACGTACACTCTGTGTTCGTGATTCAACGCCAGTCTGTAAGTACAACTGATAGCGGCGTACAGCACGATGAAGATGAGCACCTCCTTATACATCAGCTTGTAGATACTGCCCTTCCATATACCCAGCAGCTTCACAAACGTGCCCAGCCTCGCGGTCGCCACCCGGTACTGATAGGCTATCGTCATGGTTCCGGTTATCACCCTTCAGGACAATAGCCTTTCTCTACAATACACCAATCGTACGACATCTATAATCCTTATGTCACTCCCAATCTTTATGTATATGACAAGAAAGATAATTTCAGTACAATTCTTTGATAATTATGTGTTGGGTGTTCACAGATATCTGTCTGTCTGTCTGTCTGTTGGGTGTTCACAGATATAAACGGCAACTATTTGTTGTCATTTTCTTACAACTCCAAACACAATTTTCAAAAGTAGTCGTATACTAAGGGTATGACGTCGACAATGGAGAATTTTTGAACGTTCCTGGCTGTTGGTACATTGGATGTCGAGATGATATAGTGTTCACAGATATCTGTCTGTCTGTCTGTCTGTCTGCCTAAGTGTTCACATATCTGTCTGTCTGTCTGTCTGTCTGTCTGTCTGTCTGTCTGTCTGTCTGTCTGTCTGTCTGTCTGTTTGGGTGTTCACAGATATCTGTCTGTCTGTCCGTCTGTTGGGTGTTCACAGATATCTGTCTGTCTGTTGGGTGTTCACAGATATCTGTCTGTCCGTCTGTTTTGGTATTCACAGATATCTGTCTGTCTGTCTGTCTGTTTGGGTGTTCACAGATATCTGTCTGCCTGTCTGTTTGGGTGTTCACAGANTGTCTGTCTGTCTGTCTGTCTGTCTGTCTGTCTGTCTGTCTGTCTGTCTGTCTGTCTGTCTGTCTGTCTGTCTGTCTGTCTGTCTGTCTGTCTGTCTGTCTGTCCGTCTGTCCGTCTGTTGGGTGTTCACATATATCTGTCTGTCTGTTGGTTTCACAGATATCTGTCTGTCTGTCTGTTTGGGTGTTCACATATATCTGTCTGTATGTCTGTTGGGTGTTTACAGATATCTGTCTGTCTGTCTATCTGTTGGGTGTTCACAGATTTCTGTGTGTCTGTCTGTTGGGTGTTCACAGATATCTGTCTGTCTGTCTGTTGGGTGTTTACAGGTATCTGTCTGTCTGTCTGTCTGTCTGTTTGTCTGTTGGGGGTTAACAGATATCTGTCTGTCTGTCTGCCTGTTTGGGTGTTCACAGATATCTGTCTGTTTCTCTGTTTGTCTGTTGGGGAGTTAACAGATATATGTCTGTCTGTTTGTCTGTTGGGGGTTTACAAATATCTGTCTGTCTGTCTGTCTGTCTGTCTGTCTGTTTGGGTGTTCACAGATATCTGTCTGTTTATCTGTTTGTCTGTTGGGGAGTTAACAGATATATGTCTGTCTGTTTGTCTGTTGGGGGTTAACAAATATCTGTCTGTCTGTCTGTTGGGTGTTCACAGATATCCGACTGTTTGTCTGTTTATCTGTTGGGGGTTTAACAGATATCTGTCTGTTTGGGGTTTAACAGATATCTGTTTATCTGTTTGTCTGTTGGGGGTTTAACAGATATCTGTCTGTCTGTTTGTCTGTTAGGGGTTTAACAGATATCTGTCTGTTGGGGGTTTAACATATATATGTCTGTTTGTCTGTTGGGGGTTTAACAGATATATATCCCATGTGATGCAATTGGAGCAGCAGATCAATTCTAATGTCTTTAATGTCCCAGGAGTAAAGAATTTTCCAACAATACCAGACCTTACAATTACCACCAACGGGATATGTAAACTTCAACAAAACCTCAACCCACACAAGGCTGCAGGCCCAGATAACATCACGCCACGTATCCTTAAAGATCTGTCAGCAGAAATTGCGCCAGTTTTAACCATCATCTTCAACTCATCATATGCCAACGGGGAAGTTCCATCATTATGGCGTACGGCAAATGTGTGCACAATATATAAGAAGGGGAGGAAGTTCGAGGCAATCAACTACCCACCGGTGTCATTGACCTGTATTTCATGCCAACTGCTGGAGCATGTGATTACCAGTCATATCATGTCACACGCAGATAGGCACAACATCCTCTACCAATTACAACATGGTTGTCGGAAGGCGTTATTATGCGACACTCAATTACTGGAATTCCTAGACGACATCAACAAAAACATAGATGCAGGACAACAAACTGACTGCCTCATTATGGATTTCAATAAAGCATTTGACAAAGTGAGTCACAGCCTACTTGTTCATAAGCTTGACCACTACGGCATCAGAGGGAAAACCAACACCTGGATCAAGAACTTCCTCCTAGATCGTAAGCAGACGGTAGTCGTAGAAGGGGAGACTACGTCAGTGTGGAGTCAGGAGTCCCTCAGGGGTCGGTGCTCGGGCCGAGTTTATTTTCATATTACATTAACGATATGCCGGATAACATCAGATTAAATGTAAGGCTATTTGCAGACGACACCATAGTCTATTTAATGATATCATCGGATGCTGACAAGGACCATCTACACGAAGACCTAAACAGACTATCAGACTGGGAAGAGAAATGGATGATGAAGTTCCATCCTGATAAATGTAATGTTCTATCAATTACAAAGAAGAAGACCCTTACCATGTATGACTTCATTCCTCATGGTCACACACTAGAGCATGTAACATCTGCTAAATATCTTGGAGTCACCATATTTTCAGATTTAAAGTTGTATACACACATCTCAAATATATGTCAGCGAGCAAATAACACCATAGGATTCCTGAAGAGAAATCTCAACGTCAGCAACAGAAAAGGAGAAACCCTATAAGAGCCTAGTGAGACCTACACTCGGGTATGCATGCACCACATGGGACCCATACAACAAATATTGACTGGAGATGGTACAGAGACGGGCTGTGAGATATGTCAAAAACAGATGTCATAACACCTCATCTGTTAGCTCCGTCATTGAACAACTGAAGTGGACATCTTTAAAGAGAGGAGAAGTTTGAACCTCATGCTTCCGTGTGTTATTGTCATTTCAGGCTATTGATGAAGTTTGCACCCCATGTTGTCGTGTGTTATTCTTATTTCAGGCTATTGGTGAAGTTTAACCTCATGTTGTCGTGTGTTATTGTCATTTCAGGCTATTGATGAAGTTTGAAACCCATGTTTCCGTGTGTTATTCTCATTTCAGGCTATTGGTGAAGTTTGAACCTCATGTTGTCGTGTGTTATTGTCATTTCAGGCTATTGATGAAGTTTGAACCCCATGGTGTCGTGTGTTATTGTCATCTCAGGCTATTGATGAAGTTTGAACCCCGTGGTTACGTGTGTTATTGTCATTTCAGGCTATTGATGAAGTTTGAACCTCATATTGTCGTATGTTATTGTCATTTCAAGCTATTGATGAAGTTTGAACCCCATGATGTCGTGTGTTATTCTTATTTCAGGCTATTTGTGAAGTTTAAACCTCATGTTGTCGTGTGTTATTGTCATTTCAGGCTATGGATGAAGTTTGAACCTCATGTTGTCGTGTGTTATTGTCATTTCAGGTTATGGATGAAGTTTGAACCCCATGTTTCCGTGTGTTATTGTCATTCAGGCTATTGATGAAGTTTGAACCTCATGTTGTCGTTTGTTATTGTCATTTCAGGCTATTGATGAAGGTTGAACCCCATGTTGTCGTGTGTTATTGTCATTTTAGACAATTGATGTAGTTTGAACCTCATGTTGTCGTGTGTTATTGTCATTTCAGGCTAATGATGAAGTTTGAACCTCATGTTGTCGTGTGTTATTGTCATTTCAGGCTATTGATGAAGTTTGAACCCCATGTTTCCGTGTGTTATTGTCATTCAGGCTATTGATGAAGTTTGAACCCCATGTTGTCGTGTGTTATTGTAATTTCAGGCTATTGATGAAGTTTGAACCTCATGTTTCCGTGTGTTATTGTAATTTCAGGCTATTGATGAAGTTTGAACCTCATGTTTCCGTGTGTTATTGTAATTTCAGGCTATTGATGATGTTTGAACCCCATGTTTCCGTGTGTTATTGTCATTCCAGGCTTTTGATGAAGTTTGCACCCAATGTTGTCGTGTGTTATTCTTATTTCAGGCTATTGGTGAAGTTTAAACCACATGTTGTCGTGTGTTATTGTCATTTCAGGCTATGGATGAAGTTTGAACCTCATGTTGTCGTATGTCATTGTCATTTCAGGCTATTGATAAAGTCTGAACCCCATGTTGTCGTGTGTTATTGTCATTTCAGGCTATTGATAAAGTTTGAACCTCATGTTGTCGTGTGTTATTGTCATTTCAGGCTATTGATGAAGTTTGAACCTCACGTTTTCGTGTGTTATTGTCGTTTCAGGCTATTGATGAAGTTTGAACCTCACGTTTACGTTTGTTATTGTCATTTCAGGCTATTGATGAAGGTTGAACCTCATGTTGTCGTGTGTTATTGTCATTTCAGGCTATTGATGAAGTTTGAACCCCATGTTTCCGTGTGTTATTGTAATTTCAGGCTATTGATGATGTTTGAACCCCATGTTTCCGTGTGTTATTGTCATTCAGGCTATTGATGAAGTTTGAACCTCATGTTTCCGTGTGTTATTGTCATTTCAGGCTTTTGGTGAAGTTAGTTTGAACCTCATGTTGTCATCTGTTATTGTCATTCCAGGCTTTTGATGAAGTTTGCACCCATGTTGTCGTGTGTTATTCTTATTTCAGGCTATTGGTGAAGTTTAAACCACATGTTGTCGTGTGTTATTGTCATTTCAGGCTATTGATAAAGTTTGAACCACATGCTGTCGTGTGTTATTGTCATTTCAGGCTATTGATAAAGTTTGAACCACATGCTGTCGTGTGTTATTGTCATTTCAGGCTATTGATGAAGTTTGAACCTCACGTTTTCGTGTGTTATTGTCGTTTCAGGCTATTGATGAAGTTTGAGCCTCACGTTTTCGTGTGTTATTGTCATTTCAGGCTATTGATGAAGTTTGAACCTCACGTCTTCGTGTGTTATTGTCATTTCAAGCTATTGATGAAGTTTGAACCTCACGTTTTCGTGTGTTATTGTCATTTCAGGCTATTGATGAAGTTTTTCTGTCCGCAATTAGTTTCTCTTATTATCGTCTGTCGCTGGAGTGCTCATTTGTATTACATTATGTTATGTATACTCAGTCACAGAACGTATTTATAATGTAATTCATAATGGAAACTTTAAAAATCGCATACAGAACAACTAATTTACATGCATGTTTATAACGGAATCTAGGAAAATATAAAGAATGCGTGAGGTTTACCTTACTCAGTAGTTGTCGTGTTGTATAGGATCGCTGTATATACCGAGTCGTCAACATTATGATAAGGACTGACCAGTCCGTAAGATAAGATACGAGACAACTCGGTAGAAGTCCTCGGTCCGTTTGTATCAGATGTAATTACTTAACCACAGCAGAAGTCATATTTTTAAATTCAAATATATAAAAATTATATCGAGAAATGTGTGTATTGTTAGTATACTATCTGAGGCTCACCAAGATATATCACAGGACAGGAATGTTACCTTCTATTTTGATAACTATTTGTATCTAACTACCGTAATCTCTGTTGAAGGTGCAACTAAGTTCTGCTCACTTAATATATTCACAAACGAAGGAAAGTGTTCAACCATTTAAAAATCTCCCGTGAAAGTTACACGCTCAACGATAAACATCTGTAGAAAGGAAATTGAACTAAAAAAACCACTAATAGACAAATAAAAATTCGAAAAGGAAAAATAACCTATATATTATTTTACGTACAAATTGAGAAGAAGTGTTTACATCAGCTTGAACCTTTCAATCTAATCATTTTACCATACCTTTATAAAAATATATAAATGAATGAGATAATGTCGATGATAAAACCTCATGTTGTCACCAGGTATCTTGCAAAATGGCGTTATGCAGGTTTTGGGCTACATCGAAGGATAGAGATAGAGTGTGATTATGTCTGGGATTTGTGTATTTCTGTCCTGGTGCTCGTAAGGTAGTCCTCGTCCGCCATAGAGTTACAGCTGTATATTTGTCAGATCAAGTGCACCTAATAACGAGGAGACGACGTAAAATTGTTCAGCAGAATAATTAATATTAACATACCGCACACCTTAATTAAACCTAGGTGTCATTCAAGAGTTCCTGTACGGCCACAGTCAATGTATAGGACTGTATCGCACACCTTAATTAAACCTAGGTGTCATCTAACATTCCACACAGCCGAGGTCAAACCTCTAGACGTCTACTTATGTCGTCGTATAATGTTGTTTTTTTTGTACAGAGAGTGAAAGAATTAATACAGGTACAACATATAAACATGTACAATGCGAGGAACTATCTACCTGGAGAAATATACACTTGCCTGGAAAAAAATATCAAAATAATGTAATGACCCCGAACTACGATGGGAAGTGTACTGGAGTTATGACATGTTATGTGTGTTTACAACAATGCTTCGAATATCTTCAGTAAAAACATGATGTAAATGTCCATATCAAATACAGTAGAATGTTCATTATAAAAACAAAGCATACTCAACATCACCAAACTATAAACACAGAGAACTTACCTAACGGGAATCACAAGACGCATGTTACCTGTGGTTTATGTATTAATAAAGAATACAGTTTAGCTTCATCAACTATAACAAACCGAAAGAGAAGAATTGCAGTGTTCAGTATATTCGTAAAACCATCAAGACAATTCCGTTTCCTGAAGAATGTCTCCAGTTTACATTAACAGTATACTGATGATCCTTACACTTACTGTATACTGATGATTCTTACACTAACCGTATACTGATGATCCTTACACATACTGTATACTGATGATCCTTAC